TCCGAAAGTCTACTAAGACCTGGCTATTCCGGCAGGCCTGGGGCTGTTGATCCTTGATTGGGTTCCAGCCCCACTAAGATTGAATGCATGTTGTGTTCTTTTAACTTGCTTTGTCTTTGCATTTTAAATTTTTTAGTATTTTTAAATTGTTTTTATGTAAGCCGCCTGGAGTCCTTCAGGATTGGGCGGCATACAAATTCATTAAATCTTGAATCTGCGCACACATATGGAGCGTACGGCGCCTGCACGATGCTCCACTGAGCAGCTGGAGCATCGCGGGTGTAAGTACGCATGTGCGTGGTGTACATGCATGCACATGCTGCGCATGCGTGCGCACATGCTGCAAGCATTTATGTGGTGGACGCCCGGCCCCGTTGCACCATACTGGTTGCAACTGGATCCGGAACCCACCACTGGTCCAGCAATTTTCAAAAGCGATTAAAAACTAAGATTTACAAACTTAGTGTCCTTTCAAAGGCTACATGGCTGATTCCTTTGTCTCCTGTTGTTTAAGCCCACATAAAATAGTGTCTTCATGAAGAGCAGCCATCTAGAGTACATGTGAACAATCTCCCATCATCTCGTTATCCTTATCTGGTTCCTTGGTCTTCACAGTTCCACTTTCCCAGAGATCTCTTCAGTTTCCCATGCTTCTCTCAGAAGTCAATGTTCCTTGATTTTTCTATGCGTGCTTATCACATTGTGATAAACTGTTGGAAAACACTCAGCCAGGCGAGGGGGAGGGATCAAGCATGGAATTAGCTTTGAGTTTTTGTGCAGCCACAATAGACTTGGGCTAAACCTCCCCTAAGCTCCATGGAGCCTTATCTGTTTGTTCCTAAGGTAAGGCAAGCAGTCTGGGGAGAATCCTGTATTATAGGTAGAGTGTAATAAAGTACTCAACTTCAACCTTTCATATGTGGATCTAGTTGCTTGTGCCTGACATCAACTGAATCAGACATTAGGCCAAGAAATAGAGGGAAAAGAGGGAGAGTAATAATAAAACTAACTCGATTCTTGCTTTCCAAGTTGTTGAAAGAGATGTTTTCCACTTTGCATAGATAATGCTAAATAAGAAGGAACTTCCTATATAATGCTGAATAACTGAATCAAGGAGTCTTTAATATAATTGAGAATGTTTTTGAAAGCAAGTATTGATAATGATGAATTTCTTAGTTTAACTGCTGTTCCTGTAGCCAACTTAAATTTGGAAGTTATTTCCATTTTTCTTGTGGGTCATCCGTCATCTTTTGGATTTTTTTTACAGTAGAGAGAAGCCAGACAAACACTATTGTGTCCTTTTTAATGATGAGCATCATTCTTACGATCATGTTATCTACAGTCTACAAAGAACTCTTGGGTGTGACCTTGGAGAAGCCCAGATATATACTACTGCTATAGATAAAGAGGTTAGTAATATCCATAATTTTTGAAACAAGTATGTGTATTCCAGTTATTATGCTGATGTGGTATCTAGCCTGATACAGGGAGAAGTGGAAAAAGGACACTGTCATTTAAAAAAATAAATGCTGAGATTGTTTTGCTTTTTGATAAAGCTTGGCTGCATAGTTCTCTCTTGCACAGATTGACGTAACATACTTGTATTGGGCATTATTTGATTTCTGAGTTGTCGCTACAATCAATATCTTGTATTAGATTGACTTTTTAAAGTAAAATTTGTTATAGAGTTATAATTTTCAGAACAATGGATTTTCTTTTAAGTCAATTGACATCTTAATTATTATTGTTCTAGCAGGATTAATTATTCTAGAAATTTAATGAATGAACAGGGCTGGTCACCTTTTTGTTCCCATACCAAATTCTCTTCTCATTTTATATTTATTTTAAGAAGAAATTATTATGTCAGGATTGACTTTTTTCTGGAAATTCTAACATTTAGAATCACAAGAGGGAAGGTGGTGCAGTGGTTAGAATGCAATACTGCAGGCTACTTCTGCTGGCTGCTGCCTGCCTGCAAGTTGGCGGTTCAAATCTCACCATGCTCAAGATTGACTCAGCCTTCCATCCTTCCAAGGTGGTTAAAATGAGGACCCAGATTGTTGGAGGCAATATGCTGACTCTGTAAACTGCTTAGAGAGGGCTGCAAAGCACTGTGAAGCCGTATATAAGTCTAAGTGCTATTGCTGTTTGTGCCAGCATGCATTTTAAATATGGCCTTTTTGAAATATTTAGGACATTTATTTCTGAAGACTTTTTTTATATTTACAGTTCAAATCTAAATCTTTTTTCTTGAGGTTCTTATTACATTGTTTCCTCCCATCAGATATGGTACCAGAGGAAGATATTCTTTTTAGCAACTGGTCACAGTTTTTGAATTTCTCTTCCAGAGAAGCTCATTTGATTCTAAATGACAAGGTTTTGTAATTCTAGGCAAAGATCTTTATATTCTTACAAGCCCTTAAAGAGTTTTGCCTTTTTAGCTTTGTTTTGCTGTATATTGATTCAGCCATCTTCCAGGAAATGCTTTGGATGATCTATTTTCACATAAGGGTTAACAAGATAAATAGTTTGCCTGCCATTTCTTCTCAGAAGTGCCCTGTGGGTAGTGTATTTTTCATAGTATTTGGGATAAAGATTCAAGGATTGGATTATCTGCAGATGGGTTTATGTACAAGTATATATGGCAGTGCAAAATCCACCGATTCAGGAATGGAATGGCAACTTTAGAATGTCTTATTCCTCTTCTGAACTATGCCTTACCTGTTTCAGACCATACCATTATGGGGATTGTTTGGTGTTAATAGACATAAATCTTCCAAATTCTAGAATGGAATAATCCAGAGAAGGAACAGAAGAATTAATGGATCATGAACTAAGAATATTTTTAAAACTCTGTGAACATCCAGGCCATATGCTAATTTCCGACTGAATTTATTCCTTTAAAAGAGCTACATGATGGCATTATCTCTGTAATAATGTTAATGTTATATGTCAGTTTTAAAAGTCATGAATGTTGATATATATCTAACAAAAGTTAATTCAAATTTAAGTTATAATACAAAATAACTGAATATTTGTACTACTTCCATTTAAATCAGCCTGAAAGCAATTTTTCCATTTTGATCTTGCCTTTGTTTGCACACACTATAACAACATTATCCCGTCTCTCTTATTTTTTTAAAAAAATATACAGGGGCGGAAGGCTGTTAAGAAGGGGTCATATGTTGTTTGTCATGAAGCAAAAGAAGAAATTAAGGTAACAATAGAAATTTTAAAATATGCATACTATTCTGCACATTTATCAAGATACATTCATAGAGATGATTTTCCTTGATTTTAACCCCACAGTTTTGTTTTATCCTCTTTGGTCCGTAGAATGCTTGTTGTATTCTCATTCAAATTTTAAATATTCTTATTTTCTAGAAACATTCAAATAATGTTTCCCAAGGTCCCCTTAATGTGATGGTTCTTCATGCAGATGTAATGGCTCATCAGAAATTTGCTTTGCGTCTTGGTTCTTGGTTAAACAAACTTATGAGCTATTCAAGTAAGTATCCTAGATTATTTTATGTTGTGCGTAGATTGCAAAATAGTGAACAAGACCTTTATTAGTTTTGGCAATTTCCCTTGTTAGTAAAACCAGTAAAAATGATTCTGTTCTTCTGTGAAAAACTATTTTCCTGCTGCTACTACTAGACCACCATCCCTTAAAACAGTGATGCAGAACTTCTCCTGGCTTGAGGGCCACACTGAATTTTGCACAGCTTGCTAAGGGTCATCTTCCAAAAGTAGATGAAAGCAGGGTTGCCTTTTTACTTTTTTTTATTTGTAAGGGACAAAATTATGTCTTGTTTGGGCATCATTTTCTTTTATCCCCACCCTCAAATAAAATCAATTAAAATTTGGGGCTCAATTTTGTTTGGAACCCTTGTAGCAATAATAATAGCACTTAGACTTATATACCACTTCATCCTGCTTTATAGCCCTTTCTAAGTGGTTTACAGAGTCATCCTATTGCCCCCAACAATCTAGGTCCTCATTTTACCCACCTCAGAAGGATGGAAGACTGAGTCAGCCTTGACCCTGGTGAGAATCGAACTGCCAAATAGCAGGCAGCTGGCAGCCAGCAGAAGTAGCTTGCAGTACTGTGTTCTAACCACTGTGCCACAATGGTTCTTGTACTTTTTTCTTCAAAGCAATTGCATTGTATCATTGTTGCAAAAAGATTACAGCAGTAAACATGAAAGTGATTGCATAAAGTTACTCCGTATGGGAGCAAGGACATTTTAAAATATCTTTCTGCTATATGTGAAGATTTTTTTATTTTTGCATGCTATTTTTCACAAGGATTTCAGTTAAGTTCTTCAATAATCTAAACCTTTATATTACATGTTCTTCTTTTAGGTGATTTTCGTCAGATATTTTGTAAAATATGTTTAAAAGAAGAAGTTGATTCAAGGAAGCCTTGTATGATAAGCACACTGATGCTATGGGATGCAAAACTTTATAAAGGTAAATGGAATCCTGGGGAAACAACTGTGGGGCAGAACTATTGCCAACAGAATTTTCTAGAAGCATCTGGTGGGCCTCTGTAAAAAACAAAATAGCTAAACCTTCTGTTATGGTCATAGAAAATAATACAAAACCCTTAACTTCTTGTTTTATTCATTGTGTCAAATGTATTTACTTTTGAGAGGTACATTGTTTCCATTAATTGAATCCTTTTAGGCATTGACAAGGTTAGGCAGAACACGTGGCGATAATAAATAACAATGGTATTTATTACCGTGTATAGTCCAAAAATAAATTTCACTTACTAATTAATAATGTAGTGCCTTTTCATTTAATGAATATATAACACATATATCTAGACATCTAGACACCTGTTCCTATTTACCTAATTTATGTAGCATCTATCTAGAAAGCCTAAGATAGTAATCTTGTATTTTGTAGATTTCTGGCACTTTTCTTTTATGTTTTTATTTTGCATTTTTGCTATACTTCTGGTTTCAATTTCATTCTTTGGTCTCAATAGCCCCAGTTAGTTGTAAAAATTTCCCATCGCTTCACGTTGATCTTTCCTTTACTTTGTATTTCTGTAATGGTTCCTGTACTATTATTTCATTTGGCAACAACTTAATTTGCCTGTGTTTAAAAGCACTTCCGCATTCTAATTTTGATCCTTAGCTTACCAATTCATTCTTTTTCATCTCCACCTTAGCTTTTCTTGATCCTTAAACATCTTTCTCTGTTTCACTATTATCAAAGTCCCAGACACTTCCTGTTAAGTTGTCTTGGTATGCTATTCTGCCTTCTCTTTCCTACTCTTGGTCACAGCTTAGAGCCTTGGCAACCTTCAGCCTTGTCTTGCTGGCTAGGGTGCTAAACTGTCTACTAGATACTCCCTTGTGGCCTTTCTTCTTTCAGTTGTGTGCACAGTGGAATGGTTGCTGACTCCTTGTTGTTGGAAGAAGAGCAGAAAGAAACAAATATTAGCTCTTCTTCTGCTCCTCTTTCTTTCCCACTATTTTAATGTCTATTGGATATAGCTTGAGGCATTGAGCCTTTTGCTTCTCCCTGGACTTCATCAGATCTCACTCTGTGAGACTTTACTTGACATCATCTGCCGTTATAGTTGGATGGTGTCCATCTTCCCTCAGTTTTCTTGAGCAGCTTCCCTGCTGGTCCTCAGGACTGCCTCCCCAGTCCAGTGTCTCCTCTACTCACAAGATCATTATAGGCTACTCACCTAGGCATTGCTGGCTTTTCTTTTGCTGTTCAATGCTACTTCTTGCCTTTTCCAGATATTTCTGTGGATTTCACTCATTCTTTTTCCAATTTCTTTCCTTTTTGGGGGGAAAGGATAGTTTTTCGAACACATCTGCCTGACAGGTTGCCCAGGAGTGGATTTCTGCCAGTTTTACTACTGGTTTGCAATGCACGCATGAGCGAAGCGAGCATGCGTGCACTGTTCAATGTAAATTGTTCTTCACGCATGTGCAGAACAATTTGCAGTGAACTGCGCACACGCAATCACTAAAAAACAAAATGGCGGCAGCCCAGCGGTGTCAAGGGAACCAATTCTGGGGCATGACAGGCCTAAGTTGCTGCCAATTCTGCTGAACCAGGCTGAACAGGGAGCAGCCAACCTCTGAGGTTGCCCCTTCTAAAGTAGTTTGATGGTTTTTTTTTAGGATTTGGTTTCTCACTTACATAAGTTTACACGCTAACTTTCAGGAATTTGCCATTATATGCTTAAAGCAGATTTGGTAGATAGTTTACTTAGTTTCTAAAAAGGATGACATCCTTTTAGCTAAGGTTACTCACTTAGATGATTCATGCTTTAACAGCAGTTTAGCATTTTCTTTTAAATAGATTTTCCATTTTTATATAAGCATTGCACTTACTAAAGATCTATTAATTTGTAATGAAATGTTTTTGAGTGAAAAAAATATGATTTTTTCCAGGAGCAAGAAAGATCTTACATGAACTAATCTTCAGTACTTTTTTTTTGGAAATGGAGTATAAAAAACATTTTGCTATGGAATTTGTTAAGGTAATTTATCTAATGTATTATCTTTCATCTTGGAGTAGTGAATTTTTTCTTCATATTTAAATTGTTACCTCATCAATAAAAAAGTAATTATTTACCCTCTGAGTGCTGTAATATAAAAATAAATACTTTTTAAATACAGAATACTGTTGTATTCTGTATCAGGTTATAATACAGAGGTTCACAACCAGAACTCCAAGGAGCATGTGTGGTCTTACATGCCTGGGTGTGGATTACAAAACTGCTGCTTTATTTTAATCTATCTGCTGCTTTAGCTTAATTTTTAAATTAAAAGCATGGGAAAATGACTAACTATGTGGATTGACTTATATTAATCATATTAATTAAATGGAACTTTAAACATAAATTTGAATAAAATTTAATCAAAATTAATTTTCATCCTAGATTCTCATCAATTTTGAGCGCCAGATGTATCCCATTTTCCCAAATGCTATTCACCATAGTTTGATGCTTTTGGGAAGTAAATCTTCCTGAGAGGATGTAGATATTTTGTCAAATTTCTACTCTTCAGATTGCTTATATGTCATAATCCAGTCAATAAACAATACTTTCTTTGTATTTGTGCATTCACAGCATTACAAAGCTTTGCAGAGAGAATATATCAGTGATGACCATGAAAGGCAGTTTTCTGTGACAGCACTTTCAGTTCAGATATTCACTGTACCAACATTGGTATGTATACTATTTTTCCTCTAAACCAGGGATGTCAAACTTGATTTCATTGAGGGCCACATCAGGGTTCTGTTTAACCGGGGTGGGGTGGCAGGCGTGACCAGCTCGACATTATTCATGCTGGGGGCACCTGTGGTAGCCCAAGCGGTCTGCCAGCAAAAACGAGCTCCTGAGCACCGTTTTTGCTTGCAGAGGCACCGTGCCATTGCTGTTTCCAAGATGACCCCGCAGGCCAGATCTAAGTACCCCGCAGGCTGGATCTGGCCCCCAGCCCTTGAGTTTGACACCCCAGCCCTAAACTTTAGCAGAAGTATTTTTCCT